GTAATTCACACTGATGTTAAGCAAAGATACTGCTGTGACAAAGGTTGTATTCCTCTTCCAAGAAAGTCTGGATCAACGAGGTGTTTCTACGTTTTGTATTGCCATTTAACGCGTCTGTGGATAGTGCAAGGTTCCCAAACGAAAAAGGTTTTGAAAATATTTTCATTCACTTTTTGGGCGGTTTTATCAAACCAAGTGAGGTGCCGTACTCTGTGTTTCTCTGATAGTTTTCTAAGTTTCTTTAGAACCTGCTCGCTCACGACCCATTAGTACAATAGCACATTTCAGATACTTCGTACTTAGTACTGTTGGAAGCTGTCAAGATGAGACTTACGACGCTTTAGGACAGCAGACGTTTCAAAGCTGTAGATGAACATCTGAATACGACTGTTTTCGAAATAATGATCGTTATAGTCCCTCCTAAACTTCGATTTGTCCATGTTTCATAGATTGCTGAAATTCGCAAGTATCAGTTGAGTACGCCTGTTCACGTTGGGATCAATTTCGTATTCGTTAGCCAGCACATGGCTGAGGTACTTGAAATGATCCACCTCATGTCATTGCATCCTGAAGTTGACGGAGGCAGCTACAGCACTTATAACCTTCGTCTTCTCGGCTTTGACTTCTAGCTGTATATTTGTATAAGTGCATCTCACGAGCATGACTATAACTAATTTCTGTGGCAGCTGCAACGCACCAGACTGTAATTCCACTACAAAATAAAGATAAGGAAATACTTCTTGAATCGCTGCATAATTCGATCAACCGTTCTTGAGCACAGATAGAGGTAATCCGTGCATCGCAGTCCTGGTCCCAACAGTCCTCGATAAGCTCGCGTAATGCTCTAAGAGGCTGAAAGCAACAACGCTTTAGTGAATATGCATATACAGCAACAGCATTAATTAAAAGCCAGATATTACCCCTGACGTCTGCCGACACATGACTATAGGAAACGCTGGTCGATGCTTCTTCTTGCACACCAACAACTGCATCTGCTCTAGGGTTGGATGAAATGCCACTTCCTTCTCGTAAGGCATCCGGTATTCAGGAACCATATGACCTGCAAAAATCCATTCAGCAATCAGAAAACAAAATGAAAATCAAAAGAACGTATCCAACAAGGGACAATAACAAATGTTTGGTTCTCTAATGGATCTACGGGAAAAAGAATATACCTAGTGCAGCTAAAGCACTAAACTAAGGTGTTCGCCATCAGAGGCCATCCACAAGCAGCCCGTACAGAATACTCATGTCTTCTGGAATACCTTGGATCATTCCTAAATCAATTAGGAACTTGAGATGTCATTATGAATGGAAATTAGCAATGTTCAAGCAACTCTAGTTTACGATGGCGTAAGCGATATTTGGTTTAAACGGGCAACCTTTTAAAAAGGGAGACTAAAGACTAAATGCAAAAGAGTTTACGTTCCTTGGTAGCGGCATATTCACAAGCTACTACGCTTAGCACTACACACAATATTCCTACTGTAGCTGCATAAAAATATGTCAGCATGGCTGCAAAGCCGGGTTTTGTGCCACTCCATTCTGATCGTGAGACATAACACTTGTTACAAGAGATGAACTAGATAACTCCAACAACAATAGCATGAACATGTTTTATTGTTTTATTCACGTGCTGCACATATGGTGCAATTTAGGGATCGATGAGTATGATTCTACCGTCCTTCGTGCAATTTTCCACACAACACCAGAACTTACTGGCGGAAACTTCAAAACACTGATTGTGAACCTTTGCGTTGATGCAGCAGAAGCTGAAAAATGTTTCGCCGCGAAATTCCGTTTATTCAAGTCTAGTGAACTTGATGTGCAATTTTCAGGCATTGTGCAGATAATTAAATATATAAGATTCAGTAAATTATAAATTAAAATGTGGAATTAATAGTTGCTAATTCACTAACTGTTTCACGTGTGCTGTAGCTTCAACAGACAAAACGAAACAAAATAAATCTATGCAAGTTCTATGTAGTATCAATATACCTCGGAGCAATGGCCTGCTAAAAAGATTCCCAGACATGACATTTAGCAGCAAAGAAACTGTACCATAGCATCACAAATACAGATTTGATAGAGCTGTGCTTATTAACATATGAACTATATAAGAAACAAAATGTTTATGTTAACTCGATCTATCCCACAGTGATAAGTTACACGCAGTGATCAAAGCAGTGCACCTTTTGAGTAAAACACCAATGGGAACTTACTATCCGTTAAATACGCCGCTTATTAAACGAATTTCGAAACCTTTGTGTACGATGTGTCGATTCAAGGCTATGACCGCCCATACACTACCACCACTGGTCAATTTTATCTGTAACGTCGGCTCCACAGAAACTTGTCACTCAGCATTGCGATGCTTCAAAGAGAATTTTTAGGCACACTGAAAGGTCAACAGGTAAGACATCACTGCGTCCCGCGGAACACTAACCGGAAGATCGGCCATTGCTGCCGAAAACAATGAAAGGCGGCATCTGGTGAAAATACATAGATGTTTCTGTATGTACAGTCGCAGTTGTTTCATAATACGTTCTGCTGTTTCTACGTGGCTATGCATAACAATTATAAAAGCTACGAGTGGATCAGCCGGGAAGTTCACAAGCAGCTCCACTGGGTGAAAATCACCTCCTAAAACATTCACAACATGAGTGCGTATTGTACAGGCTAATTATTCAAGTAATTTCGAATTATGTTAAGACAATCTTGAATAAATAGTCGCCACCGTCGAATAAACAAAAGTACTTTACTGTCTCGATAGTTGTTGATCAAGGTACTCAGTCATGAAACAGATCCCGTCGCACAGATGGCACCTTCACATTCACTTTAACATAAGAGCTTTGTATGAAAATTTTTGACGAAAATTATTGTTAACAAAGATAGGAATAGTAATACGCACCAGTCAATGAGTATATATCGCTGCACCTGGTCATGATCTCCCAAAACACAAGACCTAACGCGTAAACGTCGACTTGCTGCAGAGTCGTCTGCGGGTCTGTCAGATTCGCAGCGCCTTCCAACAACTCGGGAGCCATATATCGCACCGTTCCGACCTGTAATCATAACGTGCAACGTACAGGGACACGGAAACAACGAATCACGTACTTCGGCGATGGACACATCTTCGTCGCTCAGACCTTTGTCTTTGAAAGCATTCAGTGCATAGGCGAATCCGAAGTCACACAGGCAACACGTGCCGTCTTGTTTCATCAAAATATTACGACTGTTCAGATCACGATGCACGACCACGGGTTTGTACGAATCTAAACGAAAAAGTCAAAAGGTAGGACAAACGAACTAGCCGATCTGCAATAGTCGATAGAGCAGGTGCCACGAGTTTTACCGTGCAAACTTCACATCCAGACAACGAAGCAGAACATGACAATATCGTTAAAGCATTTTTATCGAAATTTCAGTACGCGCCACAGAAATCTTTTATAACGTTTGTTTGGATGGTCTCTTACTCATACGTTTGTGTCACGAAGAAATGGTACAGATGAACAGCAGTCTCCGTACTACAGCTGCAGATGTTAAAAACTACGTTGTCTAAAAGGGCTGTAAGATGCAGGTCGACACGATGGTACCCGTCGTCCTGAGGGCGATTATTACACGTTCAAAACATTCATGTACTGACTGCTAGAAATCTTCTGAAAAGCTTCATTAGCATATACTATACTTGCGAACCACGATTTCACTGCCGTCAACCTCTGGGTTGATGCCGGCAAATTATCTGAGAATGTATCCAGCCTTTACACACATTTATGCATCCATCGTTGGAAACTTTCTCTTCAGCAGCATACACTCACAGATGGTAATGGAACACGACTAACATCGGTGGGTTCGCTGCGAAACAAGCAGGAGAAGCTGAAAAAAGCAGTCGCAAAGGTGTGACAGCAGTGCTAGAGGATCTGGGCATTTAAACACTGGATAACATAGTTGAGAAAACACTAATGAATGTCGACATTAAGCATGCCTAAATCTGAAAAAGCTGTAATCGCCACAAAGCACGGTCAACATGTAAGACTTTGAACTCTATGAACCATCTATGCTGTGTTGTAGCCTACGTCACAAGCTAAATGGCAATTTTTTGATGCTGCGCTTGCTAGTTTAGCTACTGCTGCAAGCTTTTTGTTCCGGAACATTCCCGAAGCTTTAGGGATCAAATAAAGTGTTATGACCATTTAATTCACGGCTTTGCCGATAGTGTTGTACCCATTCATTCTTAATTTGATATCTTTCTGGGTTATACTGTGTGCTGATCATCACTGATTTATTATTGATAGTTAGCAACCGGGTGAGTTAAAGTGAAGTGCTTCCCTATGCTGCGCTGGTATCGCACACCATT